TAGCAATTGCACTTTAGGGACTACTTTATAGTCACTTTTCAAAAAATACAAACATCCAGCATCTGGAAAATAATGAAAACAATCAAAATATTCATATATAAGAGAATGATTAAACTATAAAATTCAGTTTAACTCTAAAAATGATAACAATGTCCATGAAGTGACAGGGAATCATTTCAAGGTTACATTGTAAACAGGGAAGACAAAGCAAAGGGTTTTTTGACAGCATGTTGGGTTATGTACAAAACAGGAGGAGGAAAGAGAAAATAGAAATACATCACTTGTACAAAGAAAGTGCAGACGAGATGGAGAAAGACTAGTGCAACTGGTTCACCAGAGCAGAAAGGTAGATGTAGAGCAGAAAGAATAAAAGAAGCAGGCTGCAGTGGGGAGGCCTGCCGCTTCCCTGAGTGCACAGCTTTCTGTCTGTTTTTACTTTGAGGACCATGTTAATGTTCCTCATATTGAAAACAAGGATGCAAGTAAAAACTCATAATGAAATATGAACAAAAACAAGTGAATTAAATGGTACCTCAAATAAATAAAAACACAATTTAATATTTGAAGGTGGCTAAAGGGAAAGAGAGACCACATTAACTTTGTGCAATGTTGAGACAGTGTTTAGCACTGAAGTGAAGAGATGCTAAGCTAAGGGTTATTAGGAGTTCTGAACTTTCCCAAAACACACGCTGAAAAACTAAAATATATTAAGAGATCATTAGAAGCAGATATCTTACTATCAGAGAAGTGAGCGACAAACATGCACAAGAAATGATAGAATGAACCCTGTAATGTTAGATAAGGATTCAAAATATCAGCATGAACTCATGTTTTTAAATAACTATAAGTGGGATAAATCTGTTTGTTGAGAGGACATGTTAGCCAGAACCACACAATGACTTGCAACCAGACACTGTAATCATAATTCCTCAAGAAAATGACTGATTAAAGGTTTGGGGTAGGCAAAGCACAATTAAGAAGAAAGCTGGAATATCCTATGCTAGGATGTAAGGAAACATTCAAGGACATCACAGTGGGACACAGGAGTTAGTGTGAAGAGGCTCCCACTGGAAACCTGTGCCAATATGAACAATACAATAAATAATAACAGTAAAAGGTCAATGAGAATCCACTAAGTTCTTATGAATGTTAGAACCAATCAATGTGAGGAAAAAAAAGAAAGCTACCTTTTTCAACAGAAGGAAAAACTAATAAACATAAAAGAAATGATGAAATTAGAAGATCATGTGGCAATTATATCTCACATATAAAGAATCATTAATGGATCTAAAAACTAGTGGGTATAAATTTACATTATTTCAGAAAATCTCATAAGATAGGAACTGCTTACTAAGAAAAAATAGCTATGGTATAGATACTTGGGGTACACATTAGACAAGAAAATATCAATAACAAAACAAATCAACATGTGTCATGATACGATGCACTGAGAGCATCAAATTTGAGGGGCTCCCATCAAAAGTCTGTAAACTGCATACAATCACAAGAAAGTATCAAATAAATTAAGGAACAGCCTTAAAAAATAACCCAATGCTCTTCAAAACTGCCAATATGAAACATAAAAAGAAATGAAACAACTGCCATTTCATTTAATAATCTGCCCAGGCCTGGGCGCAAGGTCCCGAGCTCAATCCCCAGTAACAAAAAAAAAAAAAAAAATTCTGCCCAGTATTGGAGATTAAAAAGATGTGGATATTGAATAAAATATATTATCGAGTCTTTCTTCACAATAAAGCACCTTACTTGAATAACAGAAGAAAGCTGAATATGACATCAATGCTAATTTCAATAGTAGTTCTATGTTCTATGCAACTTATGGAAAGTCAATGTCCTTACTTTAAGGAACTAAACATTTTAATGCACAGAAGCGAGATGACAACATGCACAAAACTTACTATCAGTTTAGGGGAAAAATAAATAAATAAATAAATAAGATAACAGTAAGGATAAAATCTTAATGTTAAGAAAGTCAAATCTAGATAAAATGTATTTAGAAATTTTTTATCCTATTCTTGAAACTTTTCTGTTAAGATTCAAACTGCTAAAGTAGTGAGCTAAGAGTTTAAGCTCACTTAAAAAGTTATTAATTTCAACAACTGAAGGAACCAGATGGTAAAAGAATAAGAAGTGAAAAGAAAGTAAGATATCGACCATTGAGATCATGGGTTTCATGAATACTCAGACCTCAATTCAAACCCTGAATATTATATAGTTACAGTCAAGTTGATTTTGTCTTCTCTGATATTTCTGTTTTACGGAAGTAATATAGAATACACTGCAGATTCATGTAGGATACAGTGAAATCGTGCATATCAAAAGGTAAAGAAACATCAATTTCAGAACTAGGCTTCCTAGTTTTAAACTCTCCTTAGCCATTTCCTAGCTGCAGGACATCAAACCAGTTACTTAACCTCTCTGTACTATAGTTTTCCCAACAGTAAATAGAGTACTAGTATTGAATTCAAGGGTTCTTGTAAAGACTGAATTTACTTGATACAGGCACTTTAAACAAGTAATGCTTGTTACACAGCAATCAGTACATGCATGATAGTTATTTTTATTATTACACAGAGCTCATAAAGAATTAAGAATTTCAAAACATGTTAGCTATCATGACCATATACAATATTACTCTCACTAATATTTTTCAAAGAGGTTTAAAATGGTAAACAAAAAGAGAAGTTATTTTTTTCTCTTACAACAGGAAGACCAAAGCATACTGTAGGGACAAATAGTACAGAAATAAAGCTCTGAAGACCTCAGTTTCTTTCTTTATAAAAAATACCTGAGAGTTTAAGGGATGTGAATTAAACTGGTATCTTGAATGAAGTTATAAAAATGTATTTCTTTAATTTTGAACTCATTGATATAAACACTTTTAAATTCCTTCCTTTTCTTGTAATACCCACTAGACTTTGGCAGTGGTATTGGGGATCAAACTCACAACCTTGTGCTTCCAGGAAGACTTTATGCCGCTGAGCTAAATCTCCAGACCCCCCCCACTAGACTTTATGCTCCCTTTTTATAGACCCACCTAGAATCTCCCTCCTCAAAAAAAGCTCATTAATGGAAATTTTTGAACAAAGTCAAGAAGAAAATATATAAAAATGGAAAAAGGTTACAGGTAAGTAAAAGTTTGATTTTTAACAGCTTTAAAATTTTATCTTTGGACTCATTATCAATAATGTCTATGGGGGCATGATACTGATTAATGTTTATAAACCTACAGGAAAAGATGCCTAAATACTGAGAAATAAGTTACAAGAGAAATAAAATATATCAGTCACATTAATAATAATAATAATAAATTGATAGTAAACTGTGGTGTCAACTTGAGTAAGAAGTGCCTAGTAGGATAGCACACCACAGTTACAGATGTGTCTTAGATGATGTACTTCCTCAAGAGGGAGACCCACCAGCCAAAAGGCTTATAGAAGGAAAAGGAAAAACAGGAGAAAGGCTTGCTATTTGCTTCTTGCCTTTGGAACATCAGTCTGTAGGCTTCCAGCACAGACTCTTCAGTGTTCCAGAGCCTCTTTTACCTGCCAACATGGACCCTTCAGCTTCCTGAGGTGCGGGGACTCTGCAGTGAGCTCCAGGCCGTCAACTTTTGACTGGATGCTCCAGCTCTCCAGCACCTACACAGCTTTTCTTCTACTCCAACTCTACAGGCAGCCACTGTAAGCCTACCTTGTATCCTTTATAGATCATACACATATATGTCTGTGTATATATATATATATATATATATATATATATATATAATATACTTTATTTTATATACTTTATTTTACATACTTTATATATATACATTTTATATACTTTATATATATATTTATATATATATATTTTATATAAAATGTATATATATACATTTTATATACTTTATATAAATATATAAAATATTAGAGATATTAAATCTGTTCCTCTAGCAAAGCCTAATTGATACAATAAATAATTTTTATACTTTTATTTTTATATTTCCGGAGTAATTTACTGTAGCTCAGATACTGGGGATTAGGAAATAATTAAAAAGGAAAAGTAAGTGGGGCACGGTGTATCCTGGGAGGCCAATACTGGAGAATAACAAGTTTATGCCCACCCTGGGCAACTTAGCAAGACTCTGTCTCAAAATAAAGCAAAACCCAGAGTTCAATCTAAAGGAAAGGGAAGGGAAAGAAAGGAAAAAGAAGGATGGAGAAGGAGACCAGAAAGGAGGGGAAAAGCAGGAAAGTGAGGGGAAGGGATGGGAGGCCAGGAGAGAAGAGAAGAGAAAGGAAGAAAGGAAAAGGGAAATTCAAGACTTAATAAAATTTTCCCATTCTAATACAATGTACCTAAAAAGCAAGAGAAGTCAGGTATAGACAGCCAGTAATTCCTACATTAAACATATACAACCTATCAATGTCTCCAAGTGAAATTAGTACTACTAATGCTGGGAGTTATTCCACAAAAATTACTGTACAGTTTAGCAATTAAGAAAGTAGTTGTATAAAATCATAATTATGGTATTAAATATTATTACACATTAGCCCTAAGAGAACATAAAATAGCTGCCTAACTGCCATATATTCTTTAAGCTTATGATTTTTATAAATTATTCCTTGAGAAATAATTCCCCTAAATAATCTCCTTTTATTTATTATTCCATAATAACATCTCTCTTGGGAAAAATTCTTTTTATTTGTTTATTTATTTGTTGTTTTGATACTGGGGATTGAACTCACGATCTCACATTTATCAGGCAAGCATTTGAACTGCTGAGCTAAATTCTCAGCCCAAAAGTTTTTGAAACTAACATAAAATTAAAAACCTATTTTTATACCAATAGTATCTATCATTCTAGTGAAATGGAGCTTATTTGGACTTGTGTCTTTCCAGAAGGGGCAGTTAGAAAAAAACAAAGGGAAAAAGATCTAGCATCATTATCACTTGAATATTGAACCCTATGTTTCTATGTAGGTTTATGTTAAAGAGACTTTTTCTTTCTTTCTTTCTTTCTTTCTCTCTCTCTCTCTCTCTCTCTCTCTCTCTCTCTCTCTCTCTCCCTCTCCCTCTCTCTCTTTCTTTTGTCTTTTTAAGATATGCTTTTTAAGAATTGCTATGCAGGGGCTGGGGATTTAGCTCAGCGGCATAAGCGCCTGCCTTGCAAGCAGGCAGTCGTGAGTTCGATCCCTGGTACCGATAAAAATGAAAAAGACAAAAAAGAAAATGGAAAAAAAAAAGAATTGCTATGCAATTCTGGCTGCCTCTAAGTTCACTTTGTAGCCCAGGCTCGTCTCCAACTTCCAACAATCTTCTGCCTCAGCTTCCCAATTGCTGATATTACAGGAAGGCATTACCATACCCAGCTCAACAAGGACTATTCTTAAATGATCTTCCCTGTAGTATGCAAGGAAACTTGCTTTCCTCTCAATAACCATTGGTGATTATCAGAACAGAGGACCCAGGAGAATATGGGCCATGGGAACGGGTAACAAACTAAGTTCAGATGCAACTATCATCACCAGCCCTTTGATCTTTCTGTAGCTTTGTTTTCATTCAGATGAAGAGAGACTAAAGGAAAAACAAACTCAATGCAACTAAGGAACAGCTAAGAATCATTCAACATGCCAGGCAAGGCAATATTTTCTTTCACTTGCCCTTCCTAAGGTATAGAGACAACTCTGCAACCTGGGTAGGGTCAATGCCTTGCAGGAAGGACCCACAGCAAGAAACTCCTGAAGCCATGATTAGAACACCCCAGAAATTTAAAATCTGAAGCCCAAATTGTTCCCATGTCACTATTTCCCTCTAGCAGAAGAATCACTGTTTATTGTCCAAAGACAATTCCCTTGTCTTTTGATTTTAAAAACATTTCACTAAAAGAATATTCAAAACAACACAATGAGAGAAAAGCATAACAACTCTTGTGTGTCCTGCATTCAACTTCCCAAATGTGCTGTGTTGGGAGCCGCAGCCCCGAACCCGGGCGCCTCACTTGGCGGACGTGAGGCCTGTAGTAAAGAGTAAAGCCTGAGGTAGATTACCCCTCCCATCGAGCACGTTAGTTTCCTGCTTACCGCGTAAGCAACCCGCTCAACAATATAGTCTGCCTGGCAACTGATGATGTTAGCCAATCAGCTTGCCTTGCTTACTTTAACATGATTGGACACTGTATCCGTATATATACTGGTGCCACCCCTGGGGGGGAAGAAGAAGCCCGGAAGTAGAAGCCCAGAAGGAGCCGCGGGGAGCGGACCAAAGGAGGCTTCGGCTGGGAGCGATCCCAGGGCAGGCTGTACGGAGAAGGAAAATAAAAGAAAAGGTTGTCCACTGCCAGACTTTGTCGTGTGTCCTTCCTGCCGGCCAGGAGCGACATCGACAGTGCTGCCCTGTTTTGCTTGCCTTTTTGTGGTCCAGAAATATTTAAAAATATACCCTCAACATTTTAACTGAACTTCAGAGTGTCTCCAACAAGTTACAATAAAAATATAACATTATCACATCTACAATTATCATTCTTTACTGTCACTGGATGTCTATTCCTCTTTGAAATTGCAGAGTGAGATGGAGAGTGTGTATGTGTGTGTGAGAGAGTGGGGGGAGGTGCTAGCGACCAAATCTGGGGATGTCCACATGCTGGGTGAGCACTCTATCACTGACCTATACCTTCAGCACCACTGATACCTTCAAAATGACTTCCTTCTAAAAATTAACTTGAATCAAGTATCAAACAAGAGCCAGGTACAAACAAATGCTAGTAATTCCAGCACTTGGGAGGCTGAGGCACGAGGACTGTCTTGAGTTCAAGGCCAGCTTGGACTGCATTGAGACTTTGTCTTAAAAGAATCAAGACCAACACATTACTCTAGCTGATATGCCTCAATGTTCAATAGCTCCTCCACCTCTCTTTTTTAAAATGATATCTGTATGTGAAAGAAATGAGGCCACTTTTTCTATAAATCTTTTCTTATTTTTAATTTAGTCTATATGTATGTACAAGTTAGACTATAAAATCAGTAAAACATATTTCTTTGTCTCCTTTACAACTTGTAAAGTACTATAGGCTTGACTAGGCTGGGACTCACCTTTTCTCAATGTTGTTTCAAGAATGTTCAGGTGATAGTGCCCACCCTCTACTGCACTGTCAGCAGGCATTTAACATTTAGTGGTCTTCTACTAGTAAGAGTAAAAATTGTTTCTACATTCTCTGTAATCTGAATTTCTACAAGTTATCAGATACCTTATATTGATGGAACTATGTAGGTTGTGATCAAGCTAACATGTTAATCAAGAACTGATGAGAGACAACTGGTTATCACTCATCAACCAGAGAAACACAGCAGAAATCCTTCCTCTGGTGTGTAAGAGAAGTCAAAGATCTGGCTAGACATGGGGAGAACTGACAATGAATGCAGTGTATTAAAAACAGAATCCTACATACCTATTATAGTTCTAAAAGACATTTTATACACCAGCACCAATCAATGTTTCTAAACAAAGAAAATTCTAGAGTTCTTAATTTGTAACATTACTTCACCAAAACTGTCTTGTAAATCTTTCAAATTTTACTTTTTAAGTACCTTAAGAATGGTACTGATCTCTAAACCAAAGGTTCCAAACTTTGGTTGCAAAGTAAATTTTCCTGAAAAACTTTTATCAAACTGAGATCTTGGTTTCACTCAATCAATTCTAATTTAGCTGGTCTATGATGGGAACCACATATACAATGTTTTTTTTTTTAAGTCTCAGAAGACCTGTAGTATGCAGCTATAATTGAGAATGACTTTTTAAACAAGAGTACAATGATAACTACTATTTACTAAATATATGTGTCTGGTGTAACTGCTAGGACTTTATTTGAATTAGTTTCATTCTCTATTTCATAAATGAGAAAATAGAAAAGTAAAGTGAATTGCCCAAGATCATACAATCAATTCATGGCAGAGTAAAGCCTTTATCTCAGGCTGTTTGGATCCAAAACCCATCTTCTTATTACACAGTCTCCTAAGCATGAATCATGCTTGTATTTTCTACTGTAAACAAAATGATCAATGGAAAACACAAAGGATAATTTCTTCCTTCTTTGTAGTACAGTAGCATCTTATGCAAAGGTACCAACACAAATGTACTAGAAGTGTAAATAGATAACCTTCCTTTTACAAAAGATTCAAATTTGAGATTTCTACACTTTCAATAATTTCTCACATACTGCCTCATGCAGCAGTTACTCAATGTTAAATATGAAACTGCTTTAGTTTTGAAACTTAAAGCAAAAATGTACTACAAATACACTTCTAATAAAATGTCCTACCTATTTCTGTTCTGCCAAGTCCAATTCCATTATAAATTCTCAAGTAATTAAAATGACAAGAATCAGAATCTTCAATGTTAACATCACCCAATTTGACCCGAATTCATTCTCCCATCTTGACATGGATCTCCCATTTGCAAACGGTACTGCTGGGATAGGTCTGAGGGTAGTTTATAGATGCAAGAGTTCCACTTTCAAGGCCTAGTACAGTGTGTCCGCATCCATCACCTAAAAAAAAAAAAGGTGGGGTGATAAACTGTTCTTTTGTTTTAAACTTCTGAGTAATCAAGATTTTTTAATGGTGATTTAAAAATATGCATGACCTCAGATATTTATACCACCAGTATATCTTTACAGAAAATAAAATGGCATAGCTCTTAGCATATCTAGTCACAATGGCCAAGAAAAATCAAGTCAGGTTCAAATAATGATTACTTATATAATTTATAATGTCAAAGACCTTTACAATCTGAACATATCTTAAAACCCAACTTAAAGAGTTACAAATATATAAATATCAAAATGGCCTAATATTTAAAACAATACCAATTTAAACTATTTAAAATAACTAATATAAAAATGTGAGTAGCTTCACTTTTTTTTTTAACAATCACCAGCTCCTAAAATCTCCTGTGAAGCAAGATTATTTCTTGATAACAGTTAACATATGATAAAAATTAGGCAAACTATTGATCCTATTACAGATTACAAATCATTCCTCTTGAAAGTAGTTGATTTTAGGGGCTGGGGATTTAGCTCAGCGGCATAAGCGCCTGCCTTGCAAGCAGGCAGTCATGAGTTCGATCCCTGGTACCAATAAAAACAAAAACAAAAACAAAAACAAAAAAAAAAAGACCAAAAAGAAAGTAGTTGATTTTTAAGTTTAAGTTTATATTCTACTGAAATTTGACTGTTTTGTTGTTCCTTCTCTATTTTCTTCCTATAGAATAGAGAAAATAATTAAAAGTTTAATAGCTTATTAAAGATAAAGAAAAATTACGTTTATATGATGGTTCTGACATTTGCTTCATTTATTTTTCAGCAAGTAAATACAAGAACTTAGATTACCAGCTTATTGTTTGTAAAAATGAAATATCTGCATCCCTCATTTTATTCACTGAGTATGCAGGAGGCATTGATTAAATGTTCATTTACAAGTTTCGGCTGTTGTTACAACTGTATTATTTAGCATTCATTAACAACACAATTCAAATGAATCACATCCTTTTAATAGGATGACTAATGTATGACTATGGGATTCATATGAATCCCTTTCTGACAGGATCACAAATATATACTTTTAAAATAGAAGTATTCTCTTCCTTAAAAGTTATTTATAATCATGTTATTGGAATAGTACAGTATTTACACAAAAACTGTATTAAATGTGATGCTGCTGAGTTTTAACCTCACTATGAACACAATTATAAGAGAAATTACTTGATTTATTACTTTTAAAAGTACTTATATCACTTATTAGAACAGATGAATTTTAAAAATTATACACATAAAAATTTTAACAAAAATGATACACCTAAAATTATATGCATAAAAATTATACACATAAAAATTTTACATAGTATCTAGTAAGTAGTAGATAATCAATATTAATGGTATGAATAAGGAAATGTTATGAAAAATTAATTCCAAACTACTACCAACTTTAATGAAGAAACAAATCATGTAACTCTTATGATAATACTTAGAAGTCATATCCCTAACTGACAAAGAATTTTTACCCTTGAGTTTGTATTAATATTCATCCCTGGTCTATTTTTTTTTTTAAATCAGAAATCAAACTCAGGACCTTGTGCTTGCCAGGCAAGCACTTATATTGTTGAGCTGTATCTCCAGCCACTCTCCTGGCCTACTTTTAAAGAGCAATACTAAATATATGTGTGCTTGCTAGAAGTGTTATAATCTTTAAAAACCACTGGATAAATGAAATAACTCAAAATATTAGTGTTTTCTTTAGTAAACAAAAGCTAAGGCTGCTTTTAGAGTAACCGAAATGTTTATCCATAAGTTTGCAACAACAGATTGTTTAATGCATCCCCCATAGCCAATTAGTCAACCCAAGGACATTTTAAAATGTGCTTTATGAAACAATACAAGTAGAGTGGTTAGAGTAATTTTAGATGTCTTTATGCTGTTTGATCTTGAATAAATATAATGTTTCTTGTCCTTTACACCATAAAGTATAAATTCTACATAAGTTAATAAACTGATAAAAACAGATCTTTTGCATACATGGTGATAAAGAAAACAATTAAAACAGAGCTGTCTTTCTTTAAGAATGGGGGGGGGGAGGAAGAGTCCACAAGGAATGTGCCAAGAATGTTCTAAAATATGTGACAGAGTTCAGAGCTTCCTAGTCTTGCAAGCAAGATGATAAACACTAAAAATCAAAGTTAAAAGTCAAGTATCTTGTCTACTGCTCTGGCCAAGTTTGAATACCTCCTATTTCAAAGAATACAGTATTTACTAAGTTCAACCTGACTACATAAATAGCATAATTGTCACCTACTGAGATGGACTAAATACTTAGAATAATCTGGTTCAAAAGAGAAGGTTGTGCTTTCACTAGACCAGCTGCTTTGAATGTCTGTTATTCTGGAGAAATACATTTTATATTGTGACCCTGTGGATTTCCACATGGTTATTCCTGACCCACTAATGACCTCCCACCTAGTCTGAAAAATACAAGACTCACAACATACAACTGAAAAATACGAAACTAACAACTCAAAGGCTAGAACATTAAATTCTCACATGAAGGAAAGACTTTGCCCTTTCAGTTCTAAAGTAGCAATACGTTCCCAGGTTATTTTTTACAGTTATTGTACCAAAATTCTTCAAATAAGATAAAATACTTAAAACTAAAAGCTGGAAAATATTCTTCGTCAATAAATAACACACAGCAGTGTTCCTCAAACAGGAGGTGGAGATCCCACAGAATGATCCTACCACTCACTTGGCAGTATCTAGAGACATTCTTAGTTGTCACAAATAGGGGGAGGCATGTTGCTGACATCTCATTGAAAAGGGTAAGAAGCTTCTAAAATATCTTAGTAAATGAATAGTCTCCAGAACAAAGAATAATGGGACCTGCATATAAATAGCGCTGAGTTTGGGAAGTGCTAACTTAGAGTCAAGGTTAGGAAATCTCAGGCTGAAAATCTGGTTTAGTTCATGGCTCAGTCTCATTTGGCCTACTAAGGATCAACGGAGAGAAAAGTTTTCTCCCAAAGGTCAGAAGGTATGGAAACGTTTTGTGCTCACACTTCCCAATTTTAAAATAAGTAAATAGAACACTTCATTTTTCTTTAAGTTAAAAAAGAAAAATAATCCTTATTAGTCTTCAAATTTCAAATGATTTTCTCCCAGCATCAAGAGCTTTTTTTTAAAAAAAAAAGGGTAAAATTAAACAGAACAAAACATCATAAGAAAACAATTAAGAAACACAGACTTCAAGACAAGACCACCAGAGACCTTCACTATCATATTGTCTCTTGGTTTCTTCCTAATAGTTGTCCATATCTTCACACACAGTGAATTCTTACTAAACAAAACAGTACTAAACTGATCAGAACAGGATAATGAAGGCATTATAGGTCTTCAAGACCAGACAATAGGGAGGTCAACAGTGGCTGCCATAATGTCTCTCGCTCTTTTCAAAATGGCTGTCCATATCTTTACATATGTTGAAATCAAACAAAAGAAAACAAACTAACACCACTCTAGACAGGAAATAAATGTTTTGCTAGATTTTATATCATGACACCATGGAATTAGCACTGGGTATCTTAGTGTCTCATTTTCTTCAGAGTATCTGTTCATTACATCATACATTATAGAATCTATTCTTGTAAACTGTTAGAAGTTCTACACATTCATGAATCTCTACACATATACCTATTCTTTCAAAACAAGATAACAACACAAGTTCCTAGAAAAACATGAAATGATAAAGACATATAAAACCACAATACTACAAAATTTACACATCTTGGATTTTATTACTCCTTAGTGCTTATTACTTTCTTTGGGGGGGGGGAAGAATACAGTCAAATATGGCAAAACAAAGCTGTCAGTCAATACCAAGGATAGACATAGCACATGGTGTAGAACAGAGTACAAGTTTATCAACAATGGTTATCAACGTTGTCCCTTGTTTCCTTAAAAAGAATTGTCTATCTCATTAGATATTATAAAGTAGGACAAAACAGTAGAGAACAAGACCAATAAAACTTAGGCATTGTAAACATTACAGGACTTCCAAAGAAGACAATAGTCAAACCAGAATGGGTATCTTAGTGAACCTTATTGTCTTCAAAGTAGTTGCCTATGTCTTCAAACTTGATACTATCATATAGAATGGAACAGAGTCTAATCAGTCAAAACATGATCATGGGAGTACTACAGGACTTCAAAACAAGTTAATAGGAAATCAAAAAGAGTTACTATTTATATATCCTAATTTTTTTTGAATTTTTTCTTTAATTAAGACAAACATAAGAAATGACTAAATAATTTTTTTTTGAAACAATAAGGGGGAGATTGAGATAAAACAGGACATAACAATATAACAATAGAGGTCACAGCATGACTGTTTCAACAACCTAGTACTTCACCACCTTATAACCTGACTTAATAGTAGTTACCATAGTGTCTTTTTCCTTGAAATATTTGGATAAAACTTCATATACTCTAGCTTCAAATATTTTCATATCAAGAAGCCCAGAATAAAGCCTTTCTAATTAATGAGTGAAAACTTTATAAGGCTTCAAGGCCACCTAATGGGGAATCATGATTACCACATATTTTTATATATTTGAATCATTATTTACATTAGGGAAACTATTCGGTATTCACACATGCGAGATTGATTTATTTCACTAATGAGTATGGTCTCAAGCTGCGCCCATTTATTGATAAATATCTCAATGTGATCCTTCTTTATAGCTGAATAATACTCCATTGTATAGAAATACCACAACTTTTTTATCCATTCCTCAGTTGATGGGCACTTGGGTTGTTTCCAAGATCTGGCGATTACAAATTGTGCTGCTATAAACATAGGTGCACATATATCACTGTGGTATGATGCTTTCAGTTCTTCTGGGAATATGCCTAGAAGTGGAATAGTTGGAATAAATGGGATTTCCAGTCCCAACTTTTTGAAAAATCTCCAGACAGATCTCCACAAAGGCTGTACCAGTCTACAC